CCTGTGTGGAGCTGCTGCCAGCTGCGTGCTGTCAGTGCAGGTGGTGACAGAGAATCCCCTGCAGCTCTTCCGCCTCGAAGTGGAGATCCTGGACGTGAATGACAACTCCCCCAGCTTCCCCACCGCCCACCGCAGCCTGCGCATCGCCGAGTCCGCCGCAGTGGCTGCGCGCTTCCCCTTGGAGAGCGCGCAGGACCCCGACGTGGGCACCAACGCCGTGGGCTCCTACCGGCTGAGCCCCAACTCCCACTTCTCCCTGGACGTCAAACAGCTGCAGGATGGCAAACTCTTCCCGGAGCTGGTGCTGGAGCGTGCCCTGGACCGGGAAGAGCAGCCAGAACTGCAGCTGGTGCTGACGGCCGTGGACGGGGGCAGCCCGTCCCGCTCGGGCACGGCGCAGATAACAGTCCAGGTCCAGGACATCAATGACAACGCACCCACTTTTGACCGTGCCACATACAAGGTGCAAGTCCTGGAAAACACACCTGTGGGGGCCCTGCTCCTCCGGCTCAATGCGTCGGACCCTGATGAGGGCCCAAATGGGGAGACACAGTACTCCTTTGGGGTGCACACCTCCGACACGGTCCGGAGGCTCTTTGCCCTGGACCCCCACAGTGGTGAGGTGCGGGTGAGTGGGGCGCTGGACTTTGAGGAATCACCCTTCTACGAGATCCATGTGCGAGCCCGCGATGGTGGTGTGCCAGAGATGGAGGGGCACTGCGTGCTGCGGGTAGAGGTGGAGGATGCCAACGACAACCCCCCGGAGGTGCTGCTCACCTCCCTGCTGAACCCAGTGCCAGAAGACACCCCACTGGAGACCGTCGTGGGGCTCTTCAACTGTGCGGGACCGAGACTCAGGGGCCAACGGGGTTGTGAGCCTGGAAATCTCCCCCAATGTGCCATTTGCCATCAGGTCCCTGCAGAACCACTACTCCCTGGTCACCCGGGAGTACCTGGATCGAGAGTCCACCTTGCAGTACACAGTGGATCTGACCGCCCAGGATGGAGGGTCTCCTGCCCTCACCACAAGGCTCACGCTACTCCTCAACATATCCGACGTGAATGACAATCCACCACGCTTCTTGCAGCCCTCCTACGATGCCTTCCTCCCGGAGAACAGCCCACCAGGCTCCCTGCTCTGCACGGTCTCCGCTTCGGACCCCGATGACGGGGACAACTCCCGTCTTGTTTACTCCATAGAGGGTGGCCACGTGCAGGGTGCCCCTGCCTCTTCCTATGTCCACATCAACCCTGACAATGGCAACCTCTATGCTCAGCGCCCCTTCGACTTCGAGCTGCTGCAGGTTCTGCCGGTCTCGGTGGCCGTGCGAGACTCGGGGTCCCCCCCTCTCCGTGCCAACGTTACAGTCTACATCTTTGTGCTGGACCAGAACGACCACCCCCCCACCATCCTGCACCCAGCCAGCGATGGTGATGTCCCAGCACCCCAGAGGGTCCCGCTGTCTGCCCCACCAGGCTACCTGGTGACCAAGGTGACAGCGGTGGATGCAGATGCTGGGTACAACGCCTGGCTCTCATACCGCCTGCTGCCGCAGTCCACCGACCCCTCCTTGTTCCATGTGTCCCTGTACACCGGGGAGGTGCGGACGGCACGCAACCTGCGGGACACCGACGTGGCGGCGCAGCAGGTCCTCGTCCTGGTGTCTGACAACGGCGACCCACCACTCTCCACCACTGTCACCATCAGCGTGGCCCTGGAGGAGGAGACCTTGGAGGAGAGCTACAAGCCTCGGGATTTCCTGGCTGGTACCAAGGAGAAGCCGGACCTGACCCTCTACCTGATCATTGCACTGGCAGCCGTTAGCACCGTGGCACTTGCCACCGTCACCCTCCTCGCTGCCCGGTGCCTGCGCCGCAGGGGCCGTGCCGCCGCCTCGCCCTGCTGCTGCTGGCTGAGCGAGTCGCCGTCCCGGGACTTCTTCAAGCACTCCAGCCCGAAGCTGCAGCTCAGCTCCGACGGCACCCTCAAGTACATGGAGGTCACCCTGCGGCCCACCGACTCCCAGAGCCAGTGCTACGGCACCTGCTTCTCTCCCGGCTCCGACCGGAGCGACTTCACCTTCCTGCGCCCCTGCCCGCCCCCCGGCACCCTCCCGAGGGAAACCGGGGCTTTCCTCTCCGCTACCGGCACCCTGCAGGACCCCGGCCAGGTGAGCGCCCCGGGGCCGGGGGATTGCGGTGCCGGGCCGGGGCCGGACGGCGCCGCCACCCCGGGGCCGCTCCCTCGGGGCTCGGCGGGGCGGGGGCCGCCTTTGTCCCCCCGCCCCGACGTGAGGGGCGCGGAGGGGGGCGGCGGCCGCCGTCGCTCGGGTTCGCGCCGCTCGGCAGCCGTTGCGCGCCGCGATTGGTGCCGGTGTTGCTGTCCTGGGGAAGGAGCGCGGCGATTGGCGGAGCGCCCAGGCACTCGGAGCCAATGGCGGGGCGGCTGCGCGGCGCCCCCCCCGTCGAGCCGCGGCCGCCCCAAACAATGAATGGGAGCGGTGAGCGCTGAGCGCGGCCCCGCAGCGCGGGCGGCCTCCGCCGAGGGCATCGCTCCCCGGCCGCCGGCCAGGATGCTGGGGGCAGGGAAGGCGGGCAGGTGCCTGGGGCTGCCCCGCGTCTTTTCTTTCTGTTTGTTCTTGCACAGCTCCTCAGCCCAGATCCGCTACACCATCCCGGAGGAGCTCACCCGGGGCGCCTTCGTGGGCAATATCGCGAAGGACCTGGGCACCGATGTGGCGAAACTGGCGGCAGCTAATCTGCAGGTACTGTCCGATTCGGATTCCCAGTACTTCTCGGTCAATGTGAACACCGGGGTTATAATGGTCAGTGAGCGGATAGACCGGGAGCAGCTCTGCGGGCAGAACGCCCGCTGCTTCCTCCACCTGAAACTCGCCATTGAGAACCCCGTGGAGTTTTACCGCATCGAGGTGGAGATCCTGGATATCAACGACAACCCCCCGGAGTTCCCCAGCGATGACGTGTCCTTGCGCATCTACGAGCTGGCGTCCCTGGGTGCCCGCTTCCCCATCCAGCCTGCCCAGGACCCCGATGTGGGCACCAACACCTTGCAGACCTACCACCTGAGTGCCAACGAGAATTTCAACCTCAATGTGAAGGCGCGCACAGATGGTGGGAAGTTCCCTGAGCTAGTACTGGAGAGGGCCCTGGACCGGGAACTCAGAGCTTTCCACCGCCTCGTCCTGACCGCCGAGGACGGGGGCTCCCCTCCCAAGTCCAGTAAGATGCACATCACCATTCAGGTCCTGGATGCCAATGACAACCACCCGGTCTTTGACAGACCATCATATGGAGCCCGCTTGGTGGAGAACTCACCGCTCGGCACCCTCGTGGTGAAGCTAAATGCCACCGATGTGGATGAAGGGCCCAACGGAGACATCCGTTACTCCCTCAGCAGCCACAACTCAGCTGCCTTACGCCAGATCTTTGCCATTGACGAGCAAACTGGGGAGATCCGTGTCCAGGGCAATCTGGACTTTGAGGAGGCAACGGTGTATGAGATTGAGGTGGAAGCCAAGGATATGGGGTCGCCCACAATGGAAGAGCACTGCAGCGTGGTGGTGGAAATCACTGATGTGAACGACAATGCCCCCGAGGTCATTCTTACCTCCTTCTCCAGCTCCTTGAGTGAGGATGCACCACCAGGCACGGTGGTGGCTGTCATACACGTCAGAGACAGGGACTCCGGTGAGCAGGGCAAGGTCCAATGTCATGTGTCTCCAGATCTTCCCTTCCAGCTGCGCAAGGACTACGAGCACCAGTACTCACTGCTAACCAGCAGCCGGTTGGACCGGGAGCACGTTGCCTACTACAACGTCACTGTCTCAGCCTCGGATCTGGGCAGTCCCCCACTCTCCCGCCACACCATCTTGCCCATTGCCCTGGCAGATGTCAATGACAACGCGCCCCAGTTCGAGCAAGCATCCTACGAAGTGCTGGTGGCAGAAAACAACCCAGTGGGCAGTGTGCTGGTTACCATCTCTGCTGTTGACCCCGACTCGGAGCAGAACTCCCGCCTCTCCTACTCCATCCTGCGAGCTGGTGGGACAGATCCAGGCCTGGATCCAACTCGCTACCTCTCCATACACCCCACAAGTGGCCAGATCTCAACCAAACTCCCCTTTGACTATGAGCAAACCACCTATCTCCAGTTCCACGTAGAGGTCTCTGATGGTGGCTCCCCGGCCCTGAGGAACAGGACACTGGTTCACGTTTTTATCGCGGACCAGAATGACAACGCCCCACGGGTGCATTTCCCCAGGGTCGGGGAGGACTCCACCACCCAGTTGCGAATCTCCCCCTCCACTGCCCCTCCTGCTCTCATCACCAAGGTGGTGGCCATAGATGCGGACTCGGGGCGCAATGCCTGGCTCTCCTACCACCTCGTGGAAGCCACTGAGCCGGGGCTCTTCAGCGTGGCCCTGCGCTCTGGGGAGATCCGGATCACCCGGGCCCTGCAGGAGACCGATGCTTCTGCACATGAACTGCTGGTGGTGGTCCGGGACGCCGGGGAGCCCCCACTCTCCACAGCTGTCACACTGGTGGTGCTGGTGGAGGAGCGGGGCCCCGAGGCCCTGCAGGGCTCCGAGGCTCAGGGCACAGACGGCGGGGGCTTGCCTACCATCACGCTTTATCTGATTGTTTCCCTGGTGCTCATCTCCACCGTCTCGCTGGTGGGACTGGTGGTGCTGGGCGTGCGGTGTCTGCGGCGGGGCCCTGTGCCCACCACCCAGGGCTGCTGCGTGGAGAGCGTGGCCACGCTTCATCCCCCTCCCAGCCACATTTTTGGGCACTTGCACTACGAGCCCAAGCAAGGGGACACGGTGATGGGCGTCCAGGTGACAGCCACGGCACCCCCTGCCCCGCGTTACCGCTCCTGCTTTTCGCCCGTCTCTGACATCAGCGAATTCGTGTTTGTGAAACCCTCCGTGGGTGCAGCCGGTGCGAACCCGCCGGAGCCCAGCGAGGTGAGCTCGGGAGCGGGCAGCGCCGTCCCCAGCCCCACGGCAGCCCCGGCACCTGCGGGGCTTGGATCTCCCCCGCCCCCCCAGCTCGGGACGCGGCCCCCCTGGCCGCTTGGGGGGGGGCGGGGGGGGTGGATTTTGGCGGCCGGTGCCCGCTCTCAGCTGCCGGGAGTCCCCGGTTCCCGGTGCCGGGAATCCCCGGCGCCCTCCCGGCGCGGCGGGGGCGGAGTGGAGGCGGCGGCAGGAGCGGGGAGGGGGGGGGGGGAGGCAGCTTCCGTGCGTATTTTGGGGAAGGCGGTGGAGGAGGGAGAGGAGGAGGGAGCGAGGGAGGAGGAGGAGGAGGGGGCTGTTGAGAGACGTAGAATTGTCACTCGGTCCATCCCCTCCGCTCGCCGACTTTGTGCGCCTTCTGTGTGCCGGGGAGCCGCTCAGCCGGCCGGGCTGCAGCCGCCCCCCCCCCGTCCCCTTCCTCCCCCCCTTCCTCCCTTCCTCCCTCTCTCCCTCCCTTCCTCCCACCCTGCCCCGTTCCCGTGGCTCCGGCGGCGGCTTCGCCCCGGCGCAGCGCGCTCGGATCCAGCCGGGGCGCGGGGGCTCCGGCGGCGGCGGCGGCGGCTCCCGGGACCGGCAGCGTGGGGAGGCTGCTCGGAGCCGCTTACCTCCCGGCTCGCACAGCCGGCTCGGCATGCCGAGGGGCCGGGCTCTGCCATGGCAGCTCCCGCTGCTACTCGCAGCCTTCTCCAGCCTGCAGCCGCCCGGCAGCGCCCAGCTCCGTTACTCCGTGCCCGAGGACCGAGAGCCGGGCTCGCCGGTGGGCGACGTGGCCAAGGACCTGGGGGTGGAGGTGCGGAGCCTGGCAGCTCGCAACCTGCGCCTGGTGAGCGAGGGTGAGCGGCGGCATTTCCAGGTGGACCTGGTGGCTGGCGTGCTGCTCCTCGACAGCCGGCTGGACCGCGAGGCGTTGTGCGGGCAGAGCCCCGAGTGCTCGCTGCACCTCCAGCTCGTCCTGGAGAATCCCCTCCAGCTCCACCGCGTCGAGGTGGACGTCCTCGATGTCAACGACAACGCGCCGCAGTTCCCCAAGCCAGTGGTGGCCTTGGAGATCACTGAGGTGGCCAACCCCGGGACTCGGCTGCCACTGGAGGTGGCAGGAAGACCCGGATATGGGCTCCAACTCCATCTCCACCTATGAGCTCAGCCCCAGCGAGCATTTTGCCCTGAGTATCAACGTGAGAGGGGATGGCGTTAAAATGCCCGAGATTGTACTCGAAAAAGCACTGGATAGAGAAAAAGTGGCTGTTCATCACCTAACACTGACAGCCCTGGACGGAGGGAATCCGGTGAAATCTGGCACTGCAAAGGTCACCATCCACGTCCTGGATGCAAATGACAATCCTCCTGTTTGCGACCCACCCATATCCAAGGTATATCTGGAGGAGAACGTGCCAGTGGGCACTCTGGTCACCAAGCTGAATGTCACCGACCTGGATGAGGGTCCCAACGGGGATGTGGAGTATTCTTTCAAAACCAGCAATAATGCACCTGGTAAATTCACCAGGCTGTTCACCTTAGATCCCCGGACAGGGGAGATCAGAACCAAAGCCCCGCTGGATTATGAGGAATCCAGTGCTTACGAGATTGCGGTTCGAGCCCGGGACAAGGGGTCCCCGGCCATGGAAGGACACTGTCACCTGCGAGTGGAATTAATTGATATCAATGATAACAGCCCAGAGATTGTCCTGACCTCGCTCTCCAGCCCAGTGCAGGAGGATGCGACCCCAGGAACAGTGATTGCCCTTATTGGTGTCAAGGACAGTGATTCTGGTGACAACGGGCAGGTCCGTCTGCAGATAGCAAAAGAGCTCCCATTTAAACTGGTGTCATCTTTTAAAGAGCATTTCTCACTGGTCACAAATGGTCCCCTTGATCGGGAGAAGGCCAGTGGATACAACATCACTGTGAGGGCTACAGATTCAGGGTCCCCACCTAGGGCCACACAAAAAACCTTCTATCTCCAAATTGCCGACATTAATGATAATGCACCAAACTTCTCTACCCCTTTCGATACAGCTCATGTTCAGGAAAACTCTCTTCCTGGAACATCTGTCTTTTCAGTGTCGGCATCTGATCCTGATGAGGGTAGTAATGCCAAGCTGTCTTACTCCATCCTGGACAGTGGCATGCAAGACATACCTATCTCGAGCTATTTTCGAATAGACCCAGACAACGGTACTATCTATACCGTGCGGGCTCTGGACTATGAGCAGGACAAGATGTTCCAGGTGCCCGTGGAGGTGAAAGATGCTGGGTCTCCTGCTCTGAGCAGCACTGCTGTGGTCCACGTGTTCATCCTGGATCAGAATGACAACGCCCCCACCATTGTCTACCCATCCGTTCCCAAGGGTTCTGCCTTCCACCAAACCATCCCCTCCGTGGCAGAACCCGGCTATCTGGTTACCAAAATTGTAGCTGTGGACTGCCGATAGTGGCCATAATGCCTGGCTGTCCTACCAGCTGCAGGAGACCGCTGAAGCTGTGCCTTTCCTCGTGGAACGCCGCTCGGGGGAGATAAGGGTCGCAGAGGCTCTCAGGGAGACAGAAGTCCCCCACCGGCTGGTGGTCGAAGTGAGGGACAATGGGACACCGTCCCTCTCGGCCTCTGTGGTGATAGTCGTTTCTCCAGAGGAAGACTGGCGTGCAGGACTTTGCCAAGTCCTTGGACCTCCCCAAATCTTCTCCTAAGGATACCAACCTAACACTTTACCTCATCATCTCCCTGGTGTCCATTTCCCTCGTGTCCTGTGTGATGTTTGCTGTGGCGGCTGCCCGGTGTCTGAAAGCAGGCTCTGGCAGCTGGACCTTTGTGGGCTGCTGTCGAGGGTCTGCCCGCAAGCCCACCTCCCATTTCCATGGGCAGCTGAAGCCAGATGGCTTCATCAAGTACCTGGACGTGGGAGGAGCGGGCCTGACCTCCCAGGGACGGAATTACACCTCTTGTTTCTCCCCCATGTCTGAGCAGAGTGATTTCCTCTTTGTGAAACCTTTCAGCCATTCTAGCACTGCGGAGACCATGGCTGCCTACGAGCAGGTGGCCAGCACCTTAGCAAGTCCCTGTGATGGGGTAAGAGACGGGGGGGTTCTTACTGTCCTTGCTACATGCAGCCATCAGCACGATGCAGGCTGCCCGGCTGCTCTGGGGCTGTCCTGCTGCTGCAGGAGGTGGCTGCAGGGCACGAGTGTGACTGTCCCCTCCTGGGAGGTGGCAGGGGAAAGGTTTGGCTCTGCTGGAGGTGGGGGAAGGGGCTGGGCATCACCGTGAAATCAAAGCCTGAGAGCTTTGTCTTGGCCCCGTCCGTGCTCTTTTCTTTTTAAAGTGATTCCTGGCACGTTTGGGAAAGTGGGGTTGTGGGTGCTGAACTCCTTTATTCTGTTTAAGCCCTTTATTCTCTCCACCGTATGGAAGCAGAGCCAGGAGGTGACCTGAAAGCAAAGTTGCTCGGTGTTTCTTTTGCTCTATTTTAGAGGTGTTTTGTGGATGTTTCTCACTTCCTGACTCTCAAATGTTATTAATTACTGATGGTGCTCCGGCAAGGGATTACTTTCCAGCCTGGTAGTTTCAAGCGAGGGGTTGATTTCCCTGCTCGGCACTGCAATCAGTGTCATTTTTTGCAAAGATTCTGGTGACCTTACATGCCCTTGGACTTGCAGAGACTTGGGCAGCGGCGTGCTGTGAAAACTTTAGCCATATGTATTCGGATGTCTAAATACAGATATAAGTGACTGCATTTAGCTGTAGCTTTTTTAACGTTGGGATATAAAAAGTAAAGTCACTTTGTGTCATAAATGCCTGCCCTAAATTTGAAAGTAGTAATTGCAACAGGAATTCAAAAAATAGATTGGGAAGGGCTTATCTAGCGGAGGGGGGGGGTTGTGTGTCAGCGTGTGCAAAAACACGTGGATCTAAAATCTGGAGGGCAAGTGTTCAAACAGGGTGATTTGCATGCAGCACGGGTAGCAGTGGAGTCTTTATTCTAGGGGACTCAGTAATTTATTCTAATGTATTCTTTCATGAGAATCATCAAAGCTGTGGCGAAATTAGTAAAATCACATCTGCTGAAGAAAAATCTAGGTCAGCTGTACCCGTTTTCACTTTGCCTTAGTAATTGCATGTACAAGCAGAATAATCCTATAAAACTGATGTTCCACTGTATAGGCTGTGATCTGCTCCTTCCTAAGGTAACTGAGAGAATGCTTGTCCTTTCCAGGTAGTGTATTATCATTCTGGAGTTAATTAAGGAGATTATGATTTTCGGAAGTATGCGTCTTCCATACAGCAAACAGTTCTGCTATTTAGTGCTCTTCACAAAGGCGTGATTCAAACAAGAATATGCAGGCCTGCTTCATGTCCTTCCTTATTTACAAAATGCCCATTGTCTGATGCTAAAATAACAGGAGCAGCAAGTGATGCAAGGCTTACTAATGAAGTTGTAAAGTATGCTGCTGAGTCTGAAGTTTATTGTGCCTCCTAAACAAATGCTGTCATTTTTTTTTGCTGTCGGAAGTTCATTCTTTTCTCTGAGGACAGAAAAATATTGTAATGCTCCAAGGCTACAGCATCTAGGAAAAGTCATTCACATACAATGTGTGAAATCAAGATCTCAGGCAGGCCTTGTTAAGGACAGAAGAAGGACAGATTAGGAAGGTCTGTTATCATTTTACCTTCTGGCATTAAAAGCATCTTTCTAGATATCAATTAGCTCTGCCTCCCCCACTCCTCCAAGCTCATTACTTTGGTATGATTCCTCCTGCTGGATTGATGCCCTTATCAGTTTATTTCATGCTTCATTTCTTTCACAGCCTGGTTTCCTGAGCTGCTCCAGAAGATTATTTGCTGAATAGTTTTTGTCATGCTTTTTTAGTATTCATGCTGGTTCAGAAATACTCAGAAGAAAAAGGCGGGGGGGAGGGGCAGTTTTTTTTTTTTTCCTGTTGTTCTAATTGATTTGTTTTACTTCAAAAGAATACGCTGATATTCCAGGCTGAAATAATCCAGGATTGGTTCCCTTTCATTTTCAAAGGCAAGAATAGAGGTATTAAAACTCTTTTCTATTTTCTCTGCAGCAAGCTCAGCCTAACACAGACTGGCGCTTCTCTCAGACCCAGAGACCTGGAACAAGTGGGTAAGTGCATCCTTCTCCTGTGCATGTTTCGGGTGAAGATTTTGTTCCTTTCCTTGTTGCTTTCAGTGCTGGGAAGTCCTCAGTGGGCAGCTCTGAAGATGGGGTTTCCCTGTTGCTGGTAGAATTGCCCAGCCAAAGGGCCAGAAATAAGGGATGTTTCTGTGTCAGCTGCTTGATGGTGGTGCGAAAGCTCTTTGATAAGGTGTCTTGTGTTGGTGTCTAAAAGGACGGTCAGGAACAGGGGGGAGATGGAGTTGTGAGATGGTTAAAGGACTGGAAAACATGCTTTACATAGGCTTGTTACCTGAAGCACATTTTGAGCATTTTGTCTCGATTTCTGCGTATCTGGAGTCCAGTGTCATGATTTCTACCCCTGCTTAGAGGCCAGGGGAAATCATTGTGAGTCCTTTTACCAGCTGCTGAAGTGTGTTGCTTGCTCTGGCTTGAGCATCTCATGTCCTACCACTGCGTGAGCCTCTACGGCAGCCAGAGATTGTGTGGATAGGCCCCAGGTCCCCAAAGGCCCTGTTAGAGAAATGTGCCCCTGCCCCATTTAACTGAGCTTCGTTTTGTTTGGGTGTTTGGACCCTGTCCTGCATTCCTTAGGAAGCATCATCACCAGCACAGGGCGGTTCCTTGCTTTGTCCGGGTGCAGAGCCGTCTGTGCTCCCTGGAGCTGGGCAATGGGGCAGAGTGACTAAGGAAGGCAAAATTAAATCTAAGGGGTCAGGAGACTAACAGGAAGGAGCCTGGAAGGAGACCCAAGCTCTGGTCTCACTCTCAAAACCGTGGCTGAGTTTTTGCTTATTTGTGCATAATATCAAAAAGATAACAAGCCCTGGCAGTAGAGCAAAGACTGGCCTCCCAAATGAGCACCCGTCCCCTGATCTATTTCTCTTGCCTCTGGCCCAGATAAGTTTGCTCTTTGTGGTCCACAGGGAGAAAGCAATGATGGAAAATGTTGAACAAGTGCCCTTCACCTCTCCTGTCTTCCCTCCTAGTGCTTAGGCATGGGCAGAGGTCCTCCTCAAGGAGGGAGCTTCCTGGAGGACCGTCAGGGGAAGAAAGGACTTACCTTGGGGGACCACCTTCCTCTGCAAATACCCCAGCCACAGGTTATTGTGTATGAGGAGACTGGCTCCAGGATAACTCCTATGCTAAAAGATTACAGCAGCAGGAGGAAATTTGGGTTCTGTGCTGCCTTGGCTGGCTGGCTCAGGCCCTGTGTAGCTGCAGGAGGGAATCACCACGTCCCCATGCTCTCTGGTTCCTGGTGGCCTCCTGGGCAGCTTCCAGGGAGGGTGTGACCATGCCATAGTGCCATCCATCGGGTCCTGGATTTCGGTGTTGGAGCTTGCAGTTAAACACTGGTGGCAGCTGGTTGTGTCTGAGTCTTTCCCTGGCTCGGCTCGGTCTTTTAGCTTAGCAGAAAGAAAGTTAAGAGACTTATGATAGTTGTAATGAGCATTGCAGCAATTAAACTGTGTCATTAGCCTCTCCTGGCCGACAAAGGTAAAATGGATTGAGGATTTTATGTAAAGCTCAATGTATTCCTACTAGAAACCAAGCATGGGCTTTAAAACAAGGCTATTGCTGGAAAAGTTTTCTCAGAGGTCTGTTGAGTCCCCAGCACTGAAAACTTTTTAATCAAGAAAAATCTTCCTAGCCATTTATGCTCTAGTTCAAATGACAATTAACTGGAAAACCGTGTTAACGCAGAAGCACTTGAGAGTCACTGTAATAGTTTTGCTGTGAGAAGAGGGCAAATGAGCCCTGTCAGAAGAGCATTACTGCTCCCTTCTCCAGCATCACACCAGAGCTCAAGGCACGGCGCTGGTGCAGTGCAGACCTACCTGTGTCAGGGCCCTTTTCTCAGGTCATGGGACAGTGGCCTTCACTCCTCAGGCTTAGATCAGGGAGAGTGTTTTTAGTCTAAACCTGTGTTAAAACATCAAACAGTAGGAGAAAAATTATCAAATGCTCAGTGCCCAGGCTGATCAAACAAGCTGCTCCCCCTATGCCGTTCCCGTGCTCTGCCATGCATTTCCATGTCTGGTGTGTGAACCCCCAGCTACTGAGGAGGGTGCAAGGGCAGCTGCCCCAGCCCTGCCCGCTGTTGCTGTCCCCGGTGTCAGCCCGTGTGCAGGCAGGTCACCTCCTGCTGATGCATGTCCCTCTCTGACACCCATTTGCTTGGGGAGCACAGGCAGCTGGAAAAAAAAAAAAAAGAGAGAGAGAGAGAGAAAAAAAAAAAAAGATATGTGCTCATAACTGTGTTTGCCTGCTCCAAATTAAATAGCAATAAAGGCAAGGTGGCTTAGGCTGAAGTTTGAATTGGTCCCGGCGGGAGCCCAGCACTGACCCTAAGCCAGAAAGAAGGCTAAAAACCCGTGTTGTGATTTCTCCTGTGCTGTCTCCGTGTCAGTTGGAAGAGGGAACAGTGCTGTCTTTTCTCAGCATAGCCCTGCCACCGAAACAAATCCCATGTGCCTCCGAGCACCTGGAAGCAGCCGAAGCTCAGGGTGAGGTCAGTAAAGCAGGGATCATCTCCCGATCTCGTACGTCACTGCATTCAGGGCACACCGTTATGGGACAACAGAGAGGGATTGTTCCTTTGTGATCTGAAACACGGGCAAGCTCTGGTTGCACATGCTCAGAAAATAGAGGTCAGACAGCATCTTTTAAAAACACAGTGGGGAGTCAGTCCTGGAGCTGAGTAGAGCGAGTTTCAATTAATCTAATTTGGGAGAAAATGGAGGATAAATTGATTTGTATAATCATGTTTTTATTTTATTGTCTAAAAAAAAGAAAAGAAGAAAGAAATACACCTTTGCTGTCTCCGGGCAAATGTTAATGAATACAGAATAATGCTGAGCAGCAAAAGCAATTCCCAAACAAATCAGACCAGCGGCTGTAGTGGGGATTACAGTGCTGAATGGTCCAAGCGGTGCAGGCGTGGAGCCTGGCAGCACCGCAGGGCATCCCCTGGGGCTGACAGCAGGGGATGTCCCTGGGCATGGCGTGTGGGGGACAGCACAAGGGCTGGGACTGGTACAGGGGTAAGAAAAATCAGCCCTGTGCATCCATGGTACTTCCCAACAAGCATCTTCGTGGGCTGGATCTCTGTGCACCGGTGTGTTCAGTAAAGTGCTGACCTCGGGTCAGGGTCTGGAGCAGGGGAAGGCTCTGGGTTGCAGAAGAGTTGGGGAATCTTCCTGTCATGGGATGATGGGGACAAGCCCAGAGAGACCATGGGGGGGGGGGGGGGGGGGGGCTCGCCAGGGGATGGGGGGCAGTGTGAGAGCCCCATGTGGTGCTGGGGGAGGGGGGAGCAAAGCTACAAAGGAGGGTGGAGGGCTCTGACCCTGAATCTCCCCGTGCCACTGGTTTCCAGTGCTCCCCCTCCCAGGCTGGATGTGATACGTGGATGCTCACTTCACTTGCCTGTTAAGCAGCACCAGCAGCACCTCGGCTGCCCCGAGGGGGGTTTGCAGCTGGCTGTGGAGATGCTGCAGCAGTGCTGATGGCAGAGCTGCAAAGGATAGGAGGGGTCTCTCTCTCTCTCTTTCTCTCTCTCTTTCTCTCTCTCTCTTTCTCTCTCTCTTTCTCTCTTTCTTTCTCTCTTTCTGTCTCACTTTCTCCCTTCCTTCCTTCCTTTCTTTTCTTTCTCTTTCTTTCCCTGAGCTCCAATACTCGGGCTTTCAGGAGTAAAGGGAACCTCCCTAGGAAAGGTGGAGGACCACAATGGAAAAAAACTGTCCCAAGTATATTCCCTAAAGCGCACAGAGGCTTTGGTTCCCTGGTGTCTGCAGAGCCTGCATGACGCCAAAGGCTGGCAGCAGAAGGAGAGAGCTTCTGGTGTGTGGTCAGGATGTGCCTGCATCACCCCAGCATGGCAGGACAGGGAGGTGGCACGCAGGTTGTCCCACAAACCTAGGTGAGATTTCCCAAAGCAGCGGGACAAGATCTCCAGCCACCATGCAGTGGTGGGGGGGCTGGTGGGGTGGCACAGCCAGTAACCGAGCCCTTTCCCAGCAGAAAACAGCAGCAAGGGGCTTGCTTTGCTGATTTCTGTGCGAGTGGCAGAAGCGTAGCATATCAGAAACTTCCACCTGGCCATCAGCTCTGGTTGAAACCACACAGCAGGTTCCAGAAGCCTGGTGCTGGAATGAGCAGATGGACAGCATGGGGGAAGCAGGCTGAAAAAGCAATTAGGACACGGTGTTTGAGGTGGTATCACCCAAAGAACATGTGCCTAATGGGGCATGGGTATCACAGCAGTTTCTGTGGCCTCTGGCACTTCTGGGAAGTTTTAGGAAATGGGGTCTGATCTGTTGGTATCTATCCCGAAGGCACCCAGGGGTTGAGGCCACCAGCTGTGACAGTGGTGTTCGCTTCTGGGTAGGAGGTTTCACAGGTCCTGCAGGTGAATCAAAGATGTGTGGAAGCCTTGGGGCCAGATTTGCTGCTGCTTCTGGCTGTTTTTCATCCTTCTCCCTGTGCAGACACTGGAGCCTTGAGTGATTCCTCAGCGCCTCCTGCAGCACGCAGACCATGGGGCTGCTCTCAGCCTCTTGGTGGCTAGGTCCTGCGTGGGGCTGCAGAGCTCAGACACCAGCTTGTGCCACGTCCTGGGCTGCCCAGGAGAGCAGCTGCATTTTGGTGACTGTTTGAGGTTGCTGTGCAGTCCTTGCCCCCGGCCCCTGGCTGTCTTTTACTCAGCAAACACCTGGGAGGGAGCCACGTAAGCCCACCAGGGGCCGGGCAGTTTCATCTGCGAAGTGAGGTGTTGCCCTGGTGGGTGTAGAAGCAGGAACGGTTGAAGACCACGGAGCTGCTCCCAGCTTTAGCTGGTTCTCTGGTTTCCTATTGATTGCCATGGTGACAACGCTGCTTTCATGCATTACAAGGCTGCTCAGAGCCTGCCTTGGCTCCGAGCGGGTGCTGCGGTCTGTGGTGCTGTTGGGTGCTGGGATGGGGATAGGAGGGAGAAACCCCACAGGAGCTGGCTTGGTGCTGGGGGCAGGAGTGGTCCTGCCAGGCAGGGACAGGAGGCGGGGAGCCCTGCGTGGGGACAGGGACATATCCCATTAATGGGACGTGTCCCTCTCTCCGGACAGTCCCCAGCACATCAGGAGTTACGTCATCACAGCGTTATGTATAGAAACGTTATTTTAGGGCATTTAGCAGGTGTGACATGTATTAGTTTAATTTTTCTCTCTCCATCTGCTTCCTGCGCAGCTGAGCACATGCCACGCTTGGCTGCAGAGGCTCCGGGATCCGACAAGCAGGCGCAAGAACATTTCCAAAGAATTTCTCTAAATAGCTTCCCCGGCATCTTTGTGGCATGGGGGGGTGACAGGGCAGGGGGTGATGGGCTGTGTAGCACAGGCACTGCTTTTTGGGGGGGCTGGAAGAGCTGTCTTGGTGAGGGGCTCCCCCTGCCCCCCATTCTCCACCCACAGAGACATCGTGGTCTTTGTTCTGCCCCTGCCATGCAGAGCAGCATCGCAGTGCCTTGGCCAGCATCCCCCTCGCTCTGTCAGGCTTTGAGCCTCCCCCCCACCTCGCTGCTAAAATTTGGCGATCCCCTTTGCAAAGTCAGGGCCCGAAATCTGCGCCTTGCCCAAGCCCTCCCCAGCGCCTGTAATTGCATTACGGAAGAGGCAGGGAATGTGCGGAGCATGGGGGAAGGGCAGGCGGCATCCTCTGCTAGAGGAGAAGGAAAAAAAGGAATTGCAGCAATTTTTGAGCCGGTGCTGTAATTTGGGAGGGCTCCGGCTCGGGCAGTGGGACCGCTGGAGGATGGGGCTGCAGGGAGGGGGATGCTGGCCCCGGGGCACGGCCGTGTCCCCAGCACACCTCCAGAGCTGGCTGTGACAGATCCTTTCCCTGCTTCTTGTCACCGTGCCAGCGTGAAAACGCTGGAGGCTGAGATTTTATTTCTGGTGCTGCCTCTGGCTGGGGCTGGGTGTGGGAGGCAGCTTGGGGGGGTGGGGGGCTGGAAAGGAGACAGACGGAGCGGGGAAAGACGGCAGTGCAAGGGGAAGGGGGCAGGCTGGGGAGCAGGCTGGGAGCGTCAGGGCTGCTTGGGAATGGGGCTGGGGGAAGGGGCTTGGAGAAACTGCCCAGCCCTGGAGGCAGGGAGAGGGATGCTCCAGCTGGTCCTGCCCCTGCAGGGAGGTGATGGGGGGCTGGGGAAGCACCCAGAGACAGGGAGTGAAAGGGGAAGGGGCTTGGGGGTGAGGTGGACCCCAGTCATGTTCCCCCCCTACCCCCCAGCAGGGAAGCCTGGGGGTGGCTGGGGCTGTGGGGTGGGACCAGCACTGGCACAGGGGCTGGTGCTGGAGGAGCTGGAAAACCCCAAAGGTGAGAGGTGGCTGAGGGTGGCACCACCCTGCCCGGCACCCTCGGGGAGACAGAGCCTCATCCTTGGGGTATGGGGCACCCAGCGGCCACTCGAGCCCTGGCAGCACCCTTCTGGCACAAATCAGCTTCTCCATTTTCCTGTGGCACTGCTACAGCCTGGCCTTCCAGCTGCAGAATGAGGAAAACATTTTTTTTTTTTTTTTTTTTTGGAATTTCACCGGGCAGTTGTGCAAATAAATGTTTGTGAGGCATTTGGATGCCATAGTAACAAGCTCCATAGAAACCCTGCAAGGAAATGAATAATTCTGTACTGTGGAAGTGAAAGTTAAATAGGGACAACACGTTGGGCAGGGGAAGCAGAAAACAGCCGGTCAGCAAAGCACCGGGGTCCACCCCACACACAGCTTGGGCAGATGCTTGTGGAAAGCCCCTGCCCTGCTGTGTAATTAGCCAGCCGTGTGATTTGGAGCCATATCAAAGGCTGCAGGACAGACCTTTCATTTTGGCATTTCCTAACGTCCACGCATCCCGTTTGGCTGGGCTTGATGACATCCAGATCGACCTGGCTGTGTGCGTGCACCTGCGGGCGCCCACGTCCCCATGTGCTTCCCCTGCTCCGTGTGTCCACTACGCTCTGATCCCCCTCGGATGCAGCATCAATGGGTTCCTCTTTGTCTCAAGTGCAGGCTTGCTTCCTTCCCTCCAGTCCTAGTGCTGGATGCCTTCCCAAAAACAAAAGCCAGCTATTTTCTGAGCTTTGAAGCGTGGAATAGAATTAAACAGGAAAAAAAAAAAATCTGTCCTCTGTAGGATGGGTTTTTATAAAAAGCCTATTGAGTCAACACCATTTGTATTAAAAACTGCGAGTCCTTGCAGTCATTTCCATAGGAACCAGCCTCCTGTTCCGGGCAGCGTCCCCGCAGCAGGCGGGGGGAGCGGGATGCTCGCTGCTGAGCTGTGCACCAGCCATTCAGGGCTCCGTCCTATAGCCCTGGCAGACAGCCAGCTCTGGTCATCAGCTGTGTGCCTGGCTGTTTTTCTTTTTTTTTCAGTGCAAGAAGTTATTTTAGGGTGTTTTTAGATTACTGCATTTATTTTTCCTCTGCTTCTGAATTCTGAATGATTGCACTCGTAAGTAATTCAGCACTTGAATTTCCTGCTTGCAGAGATGAGCTCAATACCATTTCTGCAACTCAGGCATTTCTAAAATAGCTTTTCTGCATGACACCACGGGGAGCAGGGACATGCTTTGGGCCTGTTTGTGCAATTAGGGAGTGCTGGGTGCAGCAGGCTTGGGGGAAAGGACCTGGGGACGTCAGGTTGAACAGGAGAGCAACTGGGTTGTACTGGCAAGGCTGTGATGGCACATTAAAGAGGGGTCAAACCTCAGTCTCTGACTCCAAAACAGAGGTCAAACCACCAGAATGCTACAATTTAAAAAATTTGTCACTTTCTTCTGCTTTTCCTTTCCTCCATCCCCAGATCCCGTCGTTGTTCAGGGGCTGCCCTGAGAGGCAGCACCAGGAGGGATGTGTGGGGCTGCCCGCTCCCAGCATTTCGGGATGGGGTTCTGGCAGCACTGGGAAAGCTGGGACTGCCGGCTGGGGAGGGGGCGGGGAGCACTGGGGTTAAGCAATGGCTGCACGGGCTGTGGTTTGACACGGGGTTTAGGTTCCTAAGCCCTTTATAGGATCTAGCCTGGGGCTCTATTCCCAGCCCGGACATGCCCCTGGTCCTCAGCTGTCCTCTGGCCTGCGGAGTCAGGGCATGGCCCTGGTACGAGCACCGAGATCAGCCGGCGAGGCAGGCAGACCTCACTGTTGGCCGTCTTGAAACCGTGCCACCGCACGCGCAGCAGGGGATCGATATAAATAGGTTTTGGGATGCCCTGGGTTGCAACAGATGGCAGGTATTTCGGCAGCCTGGCAGGGCAGCCTCCGCTACATCGGGGACTGCTCGCATCCCACGCAGACAAAGCTGGGCTGTGAGAGCAGGAGCGTTTGTGCTGCTTTGTGCAGCAAGGAGCCGCAGGAAGGGTGATTTTGTGGGGCTGCCACAGGTCCTGTCTCTTCAGGCACCTTGCTTAAGACCAGCTCTGCAGTTGGGTACCCAGGAGGGTCCATGTGCCCGTCTCCGTTATGCTCACCTCTCCTTGAGTTTCGGAGGGACTTTGCACGTGGATACCTGTCACTGGGTCTGTACCAGGTGTGTGACAGAGCAGGGCTACCTGGGGTGCAATCAGAGCTCTCCAACACACTCAGCCAAGCATCTCCTTTTTTTAAATTCTGGTGTACAGGACACTGGTACACCAGGGAAAGCTGGTGTGCATTTGGGACTTCCCTCCTTGAAAAGCTTTGATGCAGCTGCGGCAGGGACCCAAGCACCAGACCCAGGTCCCCGTGGTGGATCTGTGCCATGGTCACCTGGCTGGTGGCATTTTGAGGTCTCCATGCTGGAGGCAGGGCTGTGGGAAAACATCCCTGGCCTCTCTGGAGGGAAAGTGAGGCCGCGAGTGAAGGGTGGCTGAGCACAGCTGCCGGGCACCTGGCAGGCATCAATGCAGAGCTTGTTAGGCAGTGCACAGAGCGCTGATTGTAACCTCACCACAAAATCTCCTCCTGGACCAAAGCCTGGTGGCACCCCCAGAGCTTTCCCAGGCAGACCCGTGGTGCTCAGGTCCTGTCAGCCTGCCCCAGGGAACCACGGTGGTTGCTCACCTCCTCTCGTGGCTCTTGGTGGCTGCTCCTGGCCTCCCTTCAGGGCAGGAGCCGCAGAGATGGGCAGCTGCCTCCCTGCTGATCCCCAATCCCCTGGCTCCGTGGGATTTTCTCACCCTCAATCCCATGAATGAAGCTGCAGAGTGGAGTCATAGCTTGAAACAACTTGAAAGGGCAGCCACCTCGTGTGGCCTGCAAAAGGAACCTGGTCATACAGGGGTGTGTGCTGCTCTGTGGCTCTAGGGCTGGCATTTCTTGTGGTCTCTAACTGGAGGGAAGGCACTTAGGGGGATTTCAAGGTCCTTAGGTGCAGGCTGTCTCAACCAGCAGGAGTTAGGAAGGCATTCCTGGAAGTGCCACTCAGCCCCAAGTACTTTTGGTGTTGGTGGTTATTCGTCAAAAGCCTTGGAGAGGGATGGAGACTTCTGAGAGTGTTTAGACTCCGGAGAGTTATTTAATAGAGGGATTTAAAGCCCACAGCCTCCTCTCTGCCAGCACTGCCCTCAGAGCTGCTCAATGCATCCACAGCCCTGGCTTCTGAAGCCCACTCCTCCTCGCCCAGCCGGGGTAACTTTCTGCTTCCTTTCTTTTCCTGTAGCTCCCAGAATGGAGAGGAAGGTGGAGCCTGGCCGAACAACCAGTTTGACACGGAGATGCTGCAAGCCATGATCCTGGCGTCGGCAAACGGTCAGTGTCCTTTGCGTGCGGGGAAACCACGGCCCTGGCCTCACAGGGGCTTCTCAGATGCGTGCCATTAGGTCAGATGCTTGTGGGATTGACGTGAGCGGGTTAGCTGGGGTGGATTCGGGTGGATGAGCTGAACAGAGGCCGTCTGCGTTACCCTGCGGGGGGGCAGGCAGGGGAGGTGCCATCGGCAGAGTGCAGACAGGGCACCCAAACTGTGCTGCCCGTGCACAGGACAGTGTCACCTGCCCCGTGATGGGACTGTGGTGAACGAATGAGCCGGTCTTGGGGTGTATTACGAGCTGTTTTATTCCAGAAGGCTGCAGGAAACAAAATACCTGCCGTGGTCTTGGGGCTGCCGGTGGCCAGAAGCAGGCATTCAGGCAAAGCTTGGCAGCAGGAGGCTGCTGTAGAGAAGCAGCTCCCTTACATCCCCACGGCGAGGGGGAGCTCACTGCAGCAGGGATGCTCTGAGGGTAGACCTGGGGGTCGTCAGGAGCAGGACCTCCAGCACGGCTCCCATCCAGCACCCCGCTGGGGCTCACTGGGGTCTTCCTGGGGCTGGGGCTGTGCCTCCGGGCTGCAGTCGCTGGGCTTCCTTTGGGGTAATTCCCCTATTTCCTTGGGTTGTCCTGTTTTACGGCTGCATTGTGTGAAAGCAGCAGACGGGGAGGAGTGTTCTGTGCGCCCGCGATCTCCCTGGCTTTGTGTAAGTGCAATTACCACTCTACGCAACACTCCGGATAAAGAGCCCGGTTTTCATAAAGCCTTTATTTATAAATACCTCCAGGCTTCCCCCCCCCCCCCCTCCCGGCTTTAAAAATAGAAACAACAGCACAGCCATAAAACCCTGGGTAAAATGCTTTGGATGTTTTCTTTGAGCTCTTGGGAGAGAAGGAATCTGGGGGAGGAGGGTAGTGCTCGATGCTGCTTTCTCGGAAAGCCGCTGCAGCCACCAGGCAGCCCTGAGCCACAGCTGCCGGGGAAGGGGACGAAGGAATTGGGCAATGGAGTTGTTTATGCTCAGGGGGAAAAAAAAGAACCGATGTGAAAATGGGACTCTGCTCTGAAAAACGGCCCTGGAAAAAAACTGCCTGCGGGGGCCCATGTGGTTATCATCCCTGGTGCCTCCAGATCCCATTTCCTTGCTCACAAATAACCTGGTTTTCTGGCTGTGTCAGGACCTGAGAGCTGTGCAGGTCCCTTCCAGGTCAAGCTCTGACTCCTGCGTAGCCCCAGGCCCTATTTAGGCAAATCTCCCCCGGTCCACATGTCTCTGAGGGCCCTAACCTCTCCCCAGGGGGCTGCATTAAGGCAGAGCCCCCCAGGAGAGGAGGGCGAGTGGCTTTCCCTGCTGCAGCGCAGGGAGAGGCATCTCGGAGGTGTCTCCTTCCCCTGAGACACAGCCCCAACCCCATCTCTCCACCTTCAGTGCAGCATAAGCCCTCAAAAGTATTTTGTTGTTGTTTTTGTTGTTTTTTTTCCCCACTGGAGCTGAATTTTCATCAGTCTCCTCTTGCTCTCTGCTTTGCTGTTCTCGCTCATTAAGTTAATAGTGCTGATTGGAGCAGGCTTTGATGAGGGGCAGGGCTAATTGCCCACTAAGCTTTGTGTTGCTCATCCTCGGGTAATGTTTCCTGGCTGTTTAAATGGTTCTCGCCTCTTAATGTCCCCTGCTGGGCTCTGGTTGAGCTCCAAAGGGGAGGAAGCTCCCCTGAGCCTGAGCTGCTCCATGCTGGAGACCTCCAGGGGCAGGAGCTCCTCTGATGCTGCCCTGCTCCACCAGCTTCTGGAAAGGGTTGGTGCGGTCCTACCCGCATCTTTACCCTGTGCCATCTTTGTGCTTCGTTTCAAATCCTCTGGCTCCTCTGCCCTCGGAGCTGGGAGCCTGGGAAGTTTGAAAATCCAGGATTTTTTAGCAGTCTGCAGGGGCAGAGGCAGCTGCTAGGACAGACCAAGGAGCAGGGATGCTCCAGGAAACCAGATACTGAAGGGCAGGCGTATGAAGCACACTGTCCTTAAAATACTTCATTTTTTTTTGTCAAGAATTTATAGGGGTGCTGTGAGACAGCGAGGGAGCCCGCAGACAGCGAGGCGGCCCGGGCAGCCTCACTATATCGGGTCTCCAAAAGCCCCAGCAGCAGCTGCAGCAGCAGCAAGTGCTCCAGAGCTGCCTCCCCCGACCTCCTGTCCCCTCTGCTTCTGGGGGAGCGGAGCCAGAAGGTGGTTATTTTTGCCAAAGCCTTGTTTTCCTCCTCACCATGTGGCTGCAGGGGCCTCGGGGCTTTTTTTTGGCTAACGGCTGGCCACTGGTGGAGGCTGAGCATAACCTTTCCAGCAAGAAGAAATGAAGTGCCCTGCTTGGCAAGAGCAGCTCGGTGCTGAGTTATAAACCTCTATTGTCCCTGTTCCCTCTTCTTTTCAGCCCTAATGGCAATGTTACCTAGAAACAGCCCTTTGCTCTTGTGCTGGACCAACTGGAGGGCTGGGAACCTCACGGGAGGCATTTTCTCCTGGAAAGCTGTGCTGTGACTGCAAACGAGTTGGTGGGGACCAGTTGTGCTGGGTGCTGCCGGGAGCCCCCAGACCCTTCCTGCACAAAGCATCTGGGATGCTCCTCGGGCACGGGACGCTGTTCCCAACCCCCCAGGCCCCCACCCAGGCTGTCACAGGCTAAATTGCAGCAATGGATGAGACCACAAAAAAGATCTGCCTGGCTGCAGCCTGGCCTGGGCACAGCTCCAGGCATCCCAGCGCAGCTCAGAACCCCCCAGCGGGTGTGGGGCTGGGCTGGGTTTAATGAAATGAGATTCTGCGGGGACCAGGGATCACAAACCTCTGCGAGATGTTTTAAAAGGAGAAGGTAGCGAGCAGTAAAACCCTGAAACACAGAGCGAGCGCTGAGCGTTGCAGCAGATGTAATCGCCTGGCCCTGCACATCTTCCCCAGCCCATCTGCCTGCCCCAGGTCCCCAGAGCCCCCAGATTCTGGGACCAGATTCAGGAAGAGCTGTCCCCAGCCTGTCTCTGAGCTCGTGCTGTGTTTTCCTCCCTCTGCTCCAGCGGAGCAGCTGTAATTTTTCAAGCTGCGATTGCTCAATGCCCCTGACCTCTCCGAGCGGGCACGTGCGCAGGAATATTTCAGGGCGCTGGGGGGGCTCGGTGCCCTGCCAGAAGGATGGATCAGCCGCCTCTGCCTGCTGGGGGCAAAGCCAAGGCAACACAGAGGCGTGTGTGGGTCTGATCCAGAAAGATGATGCACGAGGGGACCAGCCCCTGACTTCTGCTGGTGGTTTGCCTCTACTCCTGCAGGCTGGGGGAGGAGGGACGAGCAGTCCTGGGCTCTGCCTTGGGCCCTTCAGACGCCCAGGGTTTCCCAGCTGTCCAGGAGAGCAGTTAAAAGCCCCCTGCATTAGAGGGGGGCAGGATTTCAGCAGGCTGCTTCCCTGTGAGGCTGTGCGGGGATGCTGGCTGGGGCTGCACATATTGGAGATGATGGTGCGGGGCTGCTGGAGGAGCACTGCTCATGCTCTGCCCTCCCTCCACACTTGTTTCTCCCCCCTCCCCCCGTTTCCATCTGGTCTCTGCCTCCAGCATCTTAGGGGAGCCCTGCTCTCTGCAATCCATTCCCTTCCCTTCCCTTCCCTTCCCTTCCCTTCCCTTCCCTTCCCTTCCCTTCCCTTCCCTTCCCTTCCCTTCCCTTCCCTTCCCTTCCCTTCCCTTCCCTTCCCTTCCCTTCCCTTCCCTTCCCTTCCCTTCCCTTCCCTTCCCTTCCCTTCCCTTCCCTTCCCTTCCCTTCCCTTCCCTTCCCTTCCCTTCCCTTCCCTTCCCTTCCCTTCCCTTCCCTTCCCTTCCCTTCCCTTCCCTTCCCCCAGCACAGCTCTCTCCCAGATCTGCACTAGCGCAGCGATCGCTTTGTGCTCGGTTTCCTGGAGCCATTTGCAGTACTGCAAGGGAGGGATTTTTCTTTATCGATCCGTCTGCTCCCGGAATAAAACCTGGCTGGGAAAATGCTGGAGTCAGGGGTTTAGATGCAGGGGCAGGGGAAAAAAATAAAAAGTGTAGAGCTCGGTATTGGATTTGCCGTAATGCACTGCTAATGGTTGGGGCTGCTCGGTGTATACTTTGGGCTGCTGGGGGCGGGGGGTTGGTCTCCAGGGAGCGGGGCAGAGCAGGAGAGGTTGTGTCCTGCCCTGGCATCCCCCATCCCCAAAACCCAAGGGCTCAGCCTGGCCTTCCTCCCGGGAGATGCCAGGAGGGAGGAGGAGGATGCTCAGGGGCATCTCCCCCATGTGATAGCGATGAAGGCAGATCTGGGGGGCAGGCTGCCCACCCGTGCTAACGCCCTGCCCTTCTCTCTGCCCCGCAGAGGCCGCTGATGGCAACTCGACGCTCGGGGGGGGCACGGGCACCATGGGGCTGAGCGCCCGCTACGGCCCCCAGTTCACCCTGCAGCACGTCCCTGATTACCGGCAGAACGTCTACATCCCGGGCAGCACCGCCACCCTCACCAACGCTGCCGGCAAGAGCAACGCCAAGGGGTCCTCGGGCGGCAACAAGAAGAAATCCGGGAAGAAGGAGAAGGAGAAGAAGTAGAGAGGAGACCTCAGAGCGTCAGGGCAGCGCGCTCCAGCACTCCCCCAAAACACAGGAGGACGAATGTGGATTTTATTTTTATTTTTAACAAATATTTTTTTTTTTTTTTTGGTGATGCAAAAGTTAGGAAGCGCTGCGAATGTATCATCATCATCAGAGCTAGGAGCAGGGTGTCTCTGCTGTTAGATCTCATGATGAAAACCAATCCGGAAAATGAAAGCTAACGCAAACAAGTGCCCTGTTAATACTAGCCAACGTTTTATACGACCCCTCGGGTATTAGAATATGCAAGGTGGAAGGGCTTCTGCCATGTCTTTGGATTTGATTTGCTCCAAGATTGTCCAAGAAAGGCACGAGGCTTGTGCTCGGCTTTGTCCAGTGTAAATAATTTTAACAGCGATCTTTTAATTTATAGACCTTGGATCATTTTTGGAAAGAAAAAGCAACTTCCTAGCCTAGAACCCATGCTCCAGATTTTTTGCTCTTTAGCTTTCTTTTAGCGAAATTCACCCTGAACTAGTCATAGCAGTGGATTTGTTGGTAGGGAGTGCTTCGGTTCCTGTTTACCTGTTATCCGAAAAAAAAAAAAAAAGAAAAAAAGTAAGTGTTTATATTGCATGAATCAAAGGGAACAATGCAGAGCTGCATCCTAAACATTTATTTTTTTTTTTAAGTGCAACCAGCGATGGCCTGAAAAATTAGATAAAAACTCCTGGTGTCTGAGCGGGAGGGAATTCAGCGCGGGGCTCCTGAGGTGCGCGCAGCTGCCCCGGCGGTTCTGGGGGTCTTTGAAGAGCAGACACATCTCATCCCTCTTTTGCAGTAAATATTTATATGTACAGTAAATGTCCTTTTGGAATTAAAGCTAAGGGAGCCACAGCCCCCCTGCGGCAGGCTCCTTCCACCTGAGGGGGGGGCTGGGGGTCTGCCCACGTCTCCCCCCATCACTCCTGCATGCCCATCACTGGCGTCACGCCATGCTCCACGGATCCCGGGGTGTCCTCGCATGCCCACACAGTTTGGGGTGAAGGCACCGGTGGAGGTGCTGTGTCTGTCTGTCTGGGGCTGGGGGGTCACCGTTTTGTACTGGGGGAGCTTTGGGTACTGAGTAAGTGACAATTGGCGTGGTGGCACCTGAGGATACAACCCGGGCCAGGGACCTGCGAGCTGGGGGTGAGTGCGTGGTGTCCCTGCAAAGGGGGTGCAGCTGGCACCAGTTTTGGAGGAGGTGGCACTGGCTTTGGGATTGCCACCCCACGGAGGGAACAGAAGGACAAGGAATAGGATTTCTCCACGCTGAGCACATTTCAAGCAAACCCAGCCCGGAGAAGGGTCCCGGTGGCCTCAGCAGCACTGCCCGTGCCACCCACTGTTTGGGGCACCCCAAACTTCCCATTTCAGAGCAGTCGTGGGTGCCCATGAGGGCAGAGAGGGGCTTTTGGTACCCAGAGGTGGAGAGGCAGTGGCCACCCTGGGGTCCGCTCGTTTTCCTGCGGGTTCCTTTTTCTCTTTTTTAATCACTAACACATAACTCACCCGAGCAGGTCCAGCCCCGCACAGGATGCTCACGGCGCCCCGTCCACCTCCACGGTGGCTGCAGGGAGCAGCCCCCACCCCTAGTGCCGCTTCCACAGGCCCACGTAGCTGTCACGTCCCCTCTAGAAACGCTGTAGATGAATCGTAGTCTTTATATTTCTTTTTAATCTGCAAGCTGAAGGTAGTGTAGTGAGTGTCGTGTATTTAGTGGCGTGTTATTTTTATCTCGGTAACTAACTTGTGGACACCAGTATTTTCGATTTCTCTGTATCTTCTTTCCATGTGGTCTGTGCTCCGAGTGTACGTGAGATGAAACACGTTTGCCCTCTCAATGTGTCTAATATTGAATTATACTTATATATTATATATATGCTTATATCCTTCTTATACCCGTATAGACCGACGTCGATGTGTTACACGCAAGTTTTATACTCTAATATTTATATTGCTTTTTTTCTTTGGGAAAAAAAAAATAATAAAATGGTTTCTTCTGAATCACTGGTGGTCGTTGCTGTGTCAAGGGATGGGGGGGGGGGCAGGACGGGGTGCTGGGGCCACCAGTGGGAGGTGGCCAAGCGTGGTCCGGGGATGCTCTCGGGTTCCCCCCTGTCCTCGTGTCCCTCCTCCTCTGGTGGTGTGGCTCCCCACGGAGCAGCCCCCAGGGTCCACTGCTGCAGCCCCTTCCCCAGCACCGGGGGGGGCCGTTCCCGTCCCGGGCTCCCCGACTGCGATGGGGGGAGGAGGAATGAGAGGGGGGGGGCTGGGGCTGAGCCCTGCGGGGGGGCAGCACCCCGTGGCTCGGGGGGTCGCAACCGCGGAGGGACAAAGGCAGATCGGGGGTGGGGGGGACAGAACAGCCCCGGCAGGCATCAACAGTCCCCCCACCCCCTTTCTCCGTCCTCGGGGGCTGTGACCGCCCCCCCCATCCTTTAGCAGCACGCAGGAGGCTCCAGGCACAGCCCCCCCCGTCCCCCCCCCGTCCTCCCCCCTCCATCCCCGCCGGGCCGCGGGCGCCCCCGCAGGAGCGCGGCCGCACAGCAATGGAAGGGGGAGAGGAAGCTTTATTTTTTGGGGGGGGGGGAGCCGTGGGCAGCCCCCCCTACACCACCACCGGACTCTGCCCTCGCACACAGTTCACCCCCCCCCGGCACCTCCCTGCAGCGCACAAGACCCCAAGCCCCCCGGCGCCCCACAGGGACCCCCCCCCCCCCAAAATCGTGTTACACCCCCCCACCGAGACCACCCCCACCCAAATCCGCTCGCACCCCCCCAGAGCCCGACGAGCCTTTAATTCCCATTTATTTCTCTTTTTCTGCTGCACGGAAATTTCCTACGGGCGACGGGAGGACGGGGAGGACAAAGGCGCTGAGATGCAAGTTGGCCCCGGCTAATTAGCGCTGATGAGGGAAAGGCGCTCAGGGTTAATTGCCGGGGGTGGGGGGGGTGGGAATGGCCCGGGGGAGGGGGGTTGCTGCTGGAGGAGAGGAGGGGAGAAAAGTGTAGACGAGGAGTCCCACCGGGAAGCGCCCGCAGCCGGGACCTCGCCCTGCAAAAAATGCAGAATAAAGCTGAGGGGAGAGAGAAAAAAAAAAAAAAAAAAGGAAAAAAAAAGGGAAAAAAAAGCGGTTTCGGGCATTGACCTCTGGCCGGCTGCAGCCCCTTCCCACGGGCTCCAGCATACCCCGGCCGTTTATTTCCCATCCCCCGAATAACGGAGCCGGCTCCTTTTACAGCCTCGCATACCCGGGGGGGTTGAGAGGCATTTACCGATCCTCCGCATCTCTTCCTGCTCCATAAATCCCTTTCCTGACGCTTTATTTATTTATTTATTTATTTATTTATTTATTTATTTATATTTAAAAAGCTTAAGCCCGGTGTTGGGAGGCAGAACAGATTCGCCTTCTCATTGCCTAAACCCTGTGAGCGCCGTGCGGGGGGTGCCAGAGCTTGGGGCACACAGGGGGTCCCTGTCCCTGTCCCTGTCCCTGTCCCTGTCCCTGTCCCTGTCCCTGTCCCTGTCCCTGTCCCTGTCCCCTCCCTGGGGACACAACCTGGCTTAGCCTGGGCTTTGCAATATGCACAAAATGCATCGCAATACAAGTGCATCAATAAAAAATGTACGGGGGGGTGGGGAGGGATCAAAATGTTTTAACTGGTGGGGAAGTGAGATCAAAAAGGTTTGGAGGCGGCTGCTCTCGCCAATGCCGCGGGCTGCCCTGTGTTGTTGGAGGATGGAAAGAGGGAAAATGGAATGGAAATTGGAGGATGGAAAGTGGAGGATGGGCCCAGCAGCCCCCCAGGACATGCTGCCCCCCCACCAGTACCCAGTTTTGGGGCATCATGCTCCCCAAATAGCAACTTGTCCTTGCCTCGCTAATCAAAAAAAGAAACCACTTTGGGAGAGTTGAGACAAACTGGGGCACTAACGAGGTCTCTGCCCTCATTTTAAAAATTATCCTGGCTGTCCCCTGTGTCTGTGCCTGCGGGGAGCAGCTCCCTGGCTCATCCCTCCCAATGCAGCAGCAGGGACACCTCGAGCAGGAAGGGGGTTAGGGACAAAGCAGGGGCAGCTGATGGCTGCGTGCCCCCAAGCAGGGGACAAGGGAGGTGAGGAGGACAGCGTTGGGGAGATGCTGGTGGCAGTGTGCTGAACCTGGAAGGGAAAAAGCATCCTCAGGAGGCTCCAAGGACCCCCTTGGTCATGTCCCTCCCAGCACCTTCTCACCCCCTGCCATCTCCTTTCTGCTTCAGGAGCTTGTTTCATCACTGCCATGCTCAAGCTGCTCCAGGCTCCTCCAACGATGATGGGTCCATGGAGGTTGCTTTGGGCTCCCTTTGTCCCAGCTCCTTTGGTCCCCAATGCCCTGACCTCCCCGTGGCTTCTCCTCCTCCTCCATCCTCCAGTGGATGCCACTGGGACATCAGCAGCTGCCAAAAGACGCGTTTGGCCCCATGATGGGCGGCCACACGCGATGGAGCCCTGCACCATTGTCCCCTTGCCCCACGTCCAGAACTGCTCGCAAGGACAAACGGCTCCCGTGACAAGCAGCCAGGGACACCAGCACGTGGCAAAGCATTTGCCCAACTATAGCGGCCATCTGGCCACGACAGTCGTGCAGCCGGCAGGGAGCTGCAGCTTGCCCAATTTCTGGCAGCCTCTAGGCTCACCCAAATCCTGCCCAGACACAGTCATACTGGTACATGATGGGACAAGAAAGGCTCGAGCCTTTCTTTGGGGACAAGAAAGGCTCAAGCTGCGTGGCCAGGGCCATGCCTCCTGGTTTATCCCCAGAGGATGGGTGGATGTCAAGGAATTATTCGGCGCAGGGAGTGGGAGGATGGCAGCACCCAGCCGGCGGCAGCGCCCAGCAGTCCACCCGCAGGGACGGCTCCAGCCTGGGTGAGGCCCCGTGACTCAGTGCCACGAGGCTCCAGGCTGGTCTCTGCATGAAAATTATGATATGGAGGCAAAGACGCTCAAGATCACATTTCTTTTGTACCAAAAATAATGTTTATTTCTACATAAGCTGCATTGGTAAACCCTGATGGTATCACGATGCTGCCACAGCATCGATTGTCCACAGCTGCAAAGCCACACAAAAAAAAAGTGACTTTATATAGAAGGAACCATTACAATTAAACGAAAGCCTTTGGGCAAGACTCCAGCTCATATATCCTGATGTCTCTCTCATTTTGCAACTTCCTGGAGCTGCCCAATGCAGCCACTGGCATTTAGCTGTGCAAGGGCAACTCCTCCCTGCCCACGCAGTCACCAGCCCGGCAGCGCCCGCTGCCGCCCTGACCCGAGGGTGAGACGTCTGGCAGCCCTGCAATGCCCCAAGGACCGAGAAAACAGAGCACAATGCCTGAGCTGCAATCTTTGACCCCCCTCATCCCTCCCCGGGGACAGTGGCTGGCAAGGGAAGGGTCCAAGCCTTGCTTCTAGCAGGCTCACGGAGCACCCAGCCCTGAGCGTGGCGGTGCCACCACCTCTGTTCAGCACCCTGCTGCCCCTCTGCTGCTGGAGGCTGAGCAGCAGCCCTTCCTCCCCCCTCTGCAATCCGCGTTTCCCTCTTTCAAGTGAAAACCTCTTGCATGCAGGCACGTCTCTCTCTTCCCAAGGGCCCATCCGCAGCGCAGCAGCTCCCCAGCTGTTATTGTCCCCGGTTCACGCACCGCTGGGTTTGTAATGCCAGAGCTGGGACCTGAACCAGGACAGAGCTAATGGACACGAAGCGAAGCAGTGAGCAGACGTCAGGCCCTGCACAAAGTGCCCGACTGAGCGCACATGCTGCCGCACGGGCTCACCTGGCTCAGGGAGGGACATGCGCTTGCCCGTGCTGTCCCAAATCTTTATCAGCATTTGCAGCCCATAGTGGGCTAACAAGCCCCAGAAAGACCCAGAATGACCCAAAAACAGTGTTTTTCTTTACTAAGTGTACTAAAATTAGAGTCAAATGTAAAAGCTAGGAGGCTTAGCGTGACCTGAGCCAGAAGCACCGTGAGGGGACAAGCTCTGCAGACCCACAGCCTGGAGCAGGCAGTGCCCCGCGGGCAGCCTGAGTCCCTGCCCAGCGCCTGACCCCGCACCGCACACGCCTGCCAAGCCCCGGCCACGCAGGATGGAACATTTCTGCTCTTGGGTGCGACAGCAGCCAGGCTGTTATGGATGGCTCCATTACCTCACCGCTACAAATATGCTGAGTTAAAGCAACAACAAAACGCAGCGCCTGGGAGCTGCACCACGGATGCAGGGCACAGAAGGTGCTGACAAGGGGGGATATGAGCAGAGCAGAGCCCGGGTGTTGTGCCAGGATGGAGAGCCCCTGCAGGGCAGCTCCTCCAGCCATGGGGCTGGGGGTCTGGGCAGGCAGCCCCCTGGTGCCCATGCAGCTGAGCACAGTGCGATGCTCCAGCCCCGGCTTCCTTCCCTGCACGAAGGAAACAAGGTGCACCAGAAGGTGCCAACGCAACAAAGCTCCAGCATTCGGAGGAGCATGAGCCCAGGTTAACTGACCTGTGGGTTTCCCCCCACAGGGAGGCAAGGATGGAAGAGGGCAGGAGCCACCTGCACTGCTGGAGGAGCCGCCCGCAGCAGCAGAGCTGGGGCTGTCCCGGCTCAGCAGCGCATGCTGAAGTATCCAAACAGGTCGGGATTGAGGCAGCACCCCTGCTCCGCACCCCAAAAAGAGCTGGGGGTGCCGGGCTCTGTCTCTACCCTCTGCTCTATTTGCTCACCCCAAGACCAGGAGGGCTGCAGATGATGGCCTTGCCCTTGGATACAGCTTTTGGCCCTCCAGTCCTCTTCAGGGGCACACTGAAGGTTGGCCATGGGAGCTGGAAAACAAAAACTTGCCCCGAGAGCAAGAAGGACAATAAATTACCCTTCCTAGCCAAGCACAGATCCCAGAGTGAAGCTCTGTTTTACTTACTCTGGCAGTCCAACTGGCTTCTGCCTTTGCCCAGGCACAAAGTCCTGCTTGAGCAGCTGACGATCTCTGTGGTCTCCTCAAGGATGCCTCTGTCTCTTGTTTTCTCACTGCCCTTTGCAGACCTCGCTTGGTTCTGAAAACAAGGCCACATCTTTCATCTGCTCAGAAGCCAGCAAAAGTCTTCATTTTGCTGCAAGAAGAGAAATTGTTAGAAAAAGTGGAGACAACCCCCTGCAGGCCAGCTCTGGCAGAGCCCACCTTCCCCTGGGCCAGCTGGATGGGGTCTCTGCTCAGCCTCAAGACACTGGGGACCAAGAAATTCCCTTGACATGGCCAGGGTTGCAAAAGGCTGCAAACGTCCAGGGAGGTCTGTCAAAGTCCTGCCTGGGGCTGCCAGGGCCGATAGGGTGGGATTGAGGAAAGGAAAAGGCAAAATGGGCTCCTGGGAACGTCTCCCCATGTAAGGGTTATGGTGTGCAGAGCAGTTCCCTGGAGGAGGATGTGGACGAGTTAGGCTGGAGCCTAGAACAAACACCAAGGTCACAGCAGCCCCAAATTAGAGGAGGTGCTGCGCCCCTCAGAGCACCCATGGGCACACAACAAGCAAGGAGGAGGTAGCTCTGCATTTGGGAGCGGATGGCATAAGGGACGGGGGCTGAGGATTATAAAGCAGCAGCTGAATTGCTGCACAGACACGAGGAATTAACTGTTTCAGAGCTGAAAGCCTTTTGTGAGCAATTTGTCACGCAGCCTTCTGCAGCAGACTTCTGAAATACCGAGGGGAGCGATGCAAAGCCATGCAGGGGGGGCAGGCAATAGGCTTCTGTACAGGATTTAGAGACCTTTCAGAGACTCTGCCAATTAGCTATTGCGAGCCCAGCACCTCCCGCTGCATGCCCTGGAGCTCCCCTCGCTGCAGGGGGCACAGAAATGGGGCAGCAGCTCCGGGGCTGTGCAGCCTCCTTCACACCAGAGGGACAGGAGCCAGACCAGCAGAGGCTCCCCAGGCAGACCGACAGCCTCCGAGCCCTGATATTTGCCACCTCCCTTCCACATCTACCAGCCAGACGTCCTCTGCACAGCTTGGGCACCTTTGGGTGCTGGGGGCGGGTGCCAGCTGTAGCCCACCCCGTGCAGATGCTGTCCCAGAGGGGTGCTGCTGCTGCTGGGCTGCCCGGGCGCTGCTCTCCCATCTTGAGTGGGCACCAAGCGTGTGGTCTGGGCAGACAACACAGGCAGCATTCACAGCTGCTGGGCTTTGTGTGCCGATCCCCTCGGGGCTACGGCAGAGGGCTGTAGGGTGAGAGATGTCCCAGCAGCTGCCGGCTGGACCACAGCACAGCATGAGATCAGAAAGAAGGCAGGAGCCTGTATTCAATGGGCCTCTTGTCTCCATCTTCCCTCTGCTTCCTTCGCACAGCCCCCCCTCCCTGCCATCTCCCCTCCCCAGCCCAACGCCAGCGAGCCCTCCCACATCCTGTCCTAGCAGGCCCCAAATCCTCCCTCGCCCCCTCCAACACTCTCATCCTTCTCCACCAGTGAGTTTTCTCACATCCTCCCACCCTTTTCTTCCATAAATGTACTCCGTTGCTTTTTTAAGCCACGTAACCCATAAGCACCCCCCAAGCATCCTGTAAAGGAGGAGTGCTGTGAAATTACAGCTTTGCTTTTAAGCCTGCTCCTCCCAGCTTCATTCACGCCTCACAGGGTCTGTGGCAGACACACAAACATCTCCGGTGAATGATTTCATGCAGGTCCTTCACATCCCTCTGCTGGATGAAGCAGCCCCAGGTCTCCCCAGTTGTTCTTGTTGCATCTCTCTGCATCGTTTCAAGCTCATTACATCCCCCCTCAGGCAGGGGAAGCAGCACTGCAGGCAGCATCCAAGATGCAGTCACACGACACGTTTAAAACCAAAAAAAGCCACTGCTGTGCCATGCTCTGATTGTTTTTCCTTCCTCTCCTTCCTTTCCCAGGGATTTCTAGATCTCAGATGGAGCTTTTGAGGTTGAGCCAGCACAGGTCACTCAGCTGACATTGTCACAGACTCCCCATAAAGGCTCCAAGTGGCAATGGTCAGCTCGGAGCAGCACCATCCATCAAAGGGTGAAAAGGCAGCAAGACGACCCCTTTGATACTGTATAAGCCACGGAGCATCTGTGTGAAGTCCTTTTTTTTTTTTTTTCCTACTCAAACACTAGAAATATTCCTACTATTCACTGTCTTCCCAAAGAATTTATTTCCCTGCCTTTTAGCCTGATAAATAACGGGCTAACAGCTATAAATGACCTCTCCCCTCATCCCATGGGAGCTTCTTTAGGAGACCGGTGAGAGATCCCTTTGGAAATCCAGGTGGGATTCATCAGCTGGCTCCTCAAGCCTCTTCATCATGAGTAGTACAAGAGCAAAACACTGAATATTAATGCTGCTCGAGTCCTTATGGCGGGGCTGAAGGACCGGGAGGCTGGAAAGCCAAGCTCAAAAATGCATTTTTGGGCCTTCTCTGCTGACCTGTTTCAAGATTAAAGTGCCTCTGCAGGCGACTGGCAAAACATCTCAGGAGGACTTGGAAAGGATCAGGCAATGGGGTCACCTCTAGGCTCCATGCACTGCAGCTTCACCCCCTCTGAGGAAGAAGAGGGGATGAAGCACATGTCCCTCCTTCCTGCTGGGCCACAGCTCGGGGCGTGCGGGATGGATTCACCATCGATTTGCTGTGTTCACTGTGCTGCGCCACGGGGAGCAGATGGCTCCTGCGTGATATCGAGGCGACAGGAAAGGAGCCGGGTTGAGTCACTGCAACCACAAACCAGCCCCGAATCACAGGGCTGAAGCTCGGACTGCGGGACAATCGCAGTGCTGGACCGGAGGACACTGAGCTATTGTGCGCGCACCCGCCGTGGTCTGCGGGCGATGAGCTGGCTCCAGCGATCCCCTTTTGCTGACCCCTCTACCCCACAATGAGCCCTTTAAGCCATTAAGCAGAGTCCCGCCAGCGTTTCCCATTCCTTTATGGGTTTGCATGAAGCTGCTGGTGGCTGAGCAGATGCAGCTGCCTGGGCGGGCAGGAGTCAGATCGGCGCTGACAAGTCCTGAGCCTCGCAGCCACCACCGGGCGGGTGAGCGTGGTGGGGAGGAGAGCTGCTGGTGCCTGGCAGTGCAGCGATGGAGAGGTGGTCACATCAGCACGATGTGACCTGCTGGGAGAGCTCCTGGGGACCACAGGGCATCTAACAGGGGAGTTGTGGGGAAAGAGCTGCGAGAGGCAGTGCCTGCCCACTGCCCAGCCCATAGGAGAGTGTGGGGTCCAGCGGCAGCCTCCCAAAACACACGCTCTCCATTGTACCCCGTGGCAAAGCCAAAGCTAGTTTGGGACTGTGTGGGTGCTGTGCCCTGAAGTACTTGCCCTTAAAGCACCTTAAAAAGAACCAAAAAGGGGAAAAACCCCACCGGGCTGAAGGACATCCCTTGGTAAAACAGAGTGCCTAGGACTTACCTTACCTCTACCCGAAGGGCAAGGTGCAAAGGGAGCTCTGCCACCCCGGCAGCCTGGCTACTACAGCAGAGGGAGCCTGGTGTCACGGCTCTGAGGGAGCCTGGAGGCTTCTCTTACAGCTGCAGGTCCCACCAATGCCCCTGCCCTTTCCATCCTTGTCCTGCCCAGGAGCACAACGACTGCCTAAGCCATGAGCTGCCCCACATCTGTGGCTTCTCCAGCAGCACCGTGCCTGGCACGTGGGAGGCAGTGAACAATGGCCCCTTGTTTGTGCAGGTGTGCAAAGGGACCCCCACCCCCGGAGGGGAAACATCAGTCCCCGTCCTTCTTGCCACCTTGCAGGGTACCCTGTAACTCTAAATCCCTGACCCTTGCTGCAAGTAAAAGAAGAGCAGGCATCCCACTGCTCCTGTGGGCTGCTGAAACAGAATTGCAGGTTTCTCTCGATGCTCCTCCTGGATGTGAGACAGGAGAGTTGTAGCTTTCTCCCCTACATCTCTATTCGGGTTTTCATTTTCCAAAGGCCTGGCTTAGAGATCTCCCTCCCCCACTCTTCTGTCTGGCCACCAGCTTGCAGCCACTGCTGTGGCACAGATCCGGCACCACGTGTGTGTCCTCATTTCTGCTTTCCTGGGTCCTGTGCCTCTCTGCTTCCTTTCCCACTGAGTGCACCACACACCCTGTGCCCAGAATCTCCCATAGTTTCAGCAGTGCACAAGCTGTGCTGACGGTAGCCATCTCTTTCACACTGTTCTCCTCGAACCCTGGCATTTCTGAACCTGCTTCCAAGCTCTTTCCCTTTTCCCAACCCCTTTGATCTCTTTCCCTTCTGCCCTTAGCATGGCACCGGCTCCTTCTCGCTATCTTCTCCCTTACCTTCTGGCACCTGGGTGTACCTCTGCACATCTCAATACAACCTCAAGTCTTTCCACCTCTTTGAGAGTATTTCTCGTCGAAATACAATAGTAGCTTGGCCACACTTGCACAGGTAAAAGGCCCAACTCTACCTGCTCAGCCTGCAGGAACAACTCTGGAATTCGGATGCTCCACGATGCTGGGCAGGACAGACGCCAGCACGCAATACAGAGCGCTGCGTTAGCCAGCACTAATGGAGTAGTGGAGAAGCTATTTTGGAAATAGATTAAAAGGATGTAACGCCCCAGCAGCTGCAGCAGTACCAGCTGGGTATCTGAACCGTGCCACAGTTTCCTTGACAGCTGGTAGGAACAAACTCCAGGCACTAATGGGAGGCACAGCTTCTCCTTCCCGGACCAGCCCTGAGATGCCTCGTGCCGGGCAGCCCCTGCCCTGTCCTGCTCCCCACCTCCAGCAGCTCCCAGGGACACGGCCACGCCGGTGTCATCGCCATCTGCAGAGAAAACACGGGACCCCGTGAAATCCATGTGGCAGAAACAGGGAACGGGCCCCAGCATCTGTACTCCCTGACAGACTTTCTGAACAAGAGCCTCACGCCTGGTTTCTGGGCAGAAAAGAGTGCCTTTTGCGCTCGTGCCAGGGAAAAGAGACAGTGAACACTTCACCTCCTGCTCCTCCACGCCTGGCAGGTGTGGGGCAGACCCCAGCAGCTTTACTCTCCCCCCCCGCCAATGCTCTTTGACTGATGCCTTCATGCTGGTGGTGCAGCGGGGGCGAGAAGGGCAGGCGGGGATGGATTAGGACCCAGACTGCCTGGC